CAGCAACTTCCTATAGCAGCAAAACATGCTCTTGCTTGCAATGTCATCTTCATTGCTCACTTCCTATTTAATGAGAGCCTGAAATAAATTTAGACAGAAAGAGAAAAAAGGAGAGAGGAATGCTGCTCCGATATACAGCTCTGATGGTGATGGCGTTTGTTTGTTTGTTTCCCTTGCTGCTGCATTCCAAGAAAGCCAAAACACACCAAATGCCATTGAGAATGCCAGCCTTTTAAAAAAAAGGCTGTTGTACAAAAAGGGGCAGCAAAGGGGACCAGAAAAATTGAAGAGATAGAATATTGGAAATACTGGCGGTCCATTTACAAATATAATAAAAACCTGCATTTTTCTGGTTGGGAACAGAAAAAGAAATGGAAGTTGTCAATATGAAGATGTCGAAGATGCTTAACTGGATTGTGCAGGCATGGAACACACCATAAAACCCTCCGTTACAATCAATTAATGTGTTGATGTCGACATGCTATCTTAAACTATTGATGAGGATCGATGTGCTATGCTTAACCTATTGATGAGGACGCCTCTCTTGTGTTATTATCAACTAAACCTGGCTGCATCTCAGCTGCTGAGTTGCAAAACATTCATATTCTGAAGTGGTTATGCCATGGAAACAAGGAATTCCAGGTCATTCAAGGGCAGTTTGACACATGCGTGTTCATCACTCAGTCATCACCTCCGACACTGAGTTTTGACTGAGCATATTAAAACCTCAGTGGAGGCAATGTTTATCTATGGCTGTCATGAGAAGTGAAAAAGGGTGTAGTCTGGTGACAGAGCACAGGAGCATGGAGGCCCAAAATGACTCAGATCTAATCTCATTAGGTCCAGAACTAATCTCTGGCAGCTCCAGGTACAGCCAGGAAAGTGCCTGTTTCTAAGCAGAATAGCAATCTGAATAGTGCGCATGAAGCACACATCTCAGTTACAAAGAGGAAAGAAGGGCACACACCTTCCAGAAGGCTCCTGGATGTGTGATTCCACTGGAAATGAAGGGCAAAGGAAGCACATCACATCATCAAGGGAAAGTGGCTTTGCCCCCCCCCCACTGATGTCACCACTGTGGTTGCCTATGGCACCTGGACCCCCACACAAAAACAGACATGGGAACTGCATGCGTGTATGCCTGAGCCATACATGGCTCAAAGTCCGGTGAACCACCATCTCATCCTGAATGCACATGATCTTAACTGATTTCGGAAGCTAAGCATGGCCACACCTGGTTAGTACATGGATGGGAGGCTACCAGAGGTCTCCACGTGGGGCTCGGAGATAAGTCTGCCAGAAACCCTGAATCGCTACTGATAGCTACTGCCATTCAGAGTTGAACATTCTGGCCTAGGTGGACCAAGGATCTGACACAAGGTAGCTTTCTACATTCCTAAGCATTAGGCATAATGAATGGATTACCGTGCCAAAAAAGATGAGTAATCTGGATTATTTCTTCCCCTACAATAACCAGTGCCACAACAGCTCATCTCCCATTATATCCACTACCAGTCTCCTTTTCCTTTTATCCAGTCCTGAATCTGGAACAGGTTTCATTGAAAACTTTCCTGAGTATTCATTGGCTAGTATCCTAGTTAGTACAGTGGACCCTTGACTTACAGACGGCTTGACTTACAGACTTTTTGAGTTACAGACTTCTCTGGCCATGCCTGAGCCATACATGGCTCAAAATCTGCTGAACCACCATCTCATCCTGAACGCACATGATCTTAACTGATTTTGGAAGCTAAGCATGGCCACACCTGGTTAGTACATGGATGGGAGGCTACCAGAGGTCTCCACGTGGGGCTCGGAGATAAGTCTGGCAGAAACTTTCCTGAGTATTCATTGCCTAGTATCCTTGTTAGTATTGACTTGTCCATGTGACGGTGCCACGGAGATCTGAAGAGGTGCCAGCCATGTGTCTGATCACAAGCCAACAGCACCTCATTGGTTCATCATGGCAGCCTCTCATGCACAAACAATGAACAAGTCACTGCCTGTTATTCTTCGTGCCAAACTAAAATTAGAAGTCCCATTGCTCTTAAATTCCAGAGAATACCAAGAGATGTTGGGGATGCTCTCAGAGCCCGAGAGATACATCGTGGAACATGAAAGGGATTTGGTAATCTCAGCATGACATAAGGTGTCGATTAACCTGGAAGCGAACCAAATGCCTAGCTTTAAAATCCCCTTATCTAACGACTGCACATTTCACCATTTCAACTGCAGCCACCATGCGTGGCCTTGAAGGCAAAGCAGGATATTCCAGAAAAAAACAACAACCCCAAAACAAAATAATTTAAAAGAAGAGGCAAGCCAAGAGATCGACTAATAATTAACACTCAGAGTAAGAGCAGTTTGTTTATATTAAAAATAATGGACGGTCTGCAAAAGAAGCCAAATTAAAGGACACCTGGATACCCAAACAGCAATAAAAATGTTGATGTGTTTGTTAGGAAAGCCAAGAGGACAAATTAGGAATGGTGCTTTGGACATTTAGTGATGTGAAAATAACTTATAGATGGAACCCTGTACGAAATGTTAGTTTCGGGTCTCAATACTGGTTAACCCTCAGGCAACTCACTGAGAAAAAAAATGGTCTTGAGTGAGTCATGGGGTAATTTTTGGACCCCGGTGAGAATTCTGGAGTTTTGAGGGTTAGCAGAAGGTCCTTGGAGTTAGGGTTAAGGTTTCAACGCAATATGCACTTGTTGTACTTCTTGGCTCAAATGAGATGTCCCCTGCTCCTCCAGAGGGGGCCCACCTAGTGACAACCGAGCCCTATTCCGTCTCTGGGTTAATGAACATGCATTGAGGGGAGAAGCTAACCCTATTCTCTCTTTGCTCACACAAGTAGCAGCAAATTGGGCAAGGGGAACTTCCTGCTGTACACATACAGAAGCTCCCCAGAAAATCTGGGTTCTTGTTCACATGAAACGCCTACCCGTGAGCTGGACCTTCGTCTTCTTTGGACAACTCATTGCTCAAGTGAGCAAAGTGAAAACAGGGGAGATGGGGCTCAGCATGTTAGGAGACTTCAGAGGCTACTGCATCTGAATCGTGGTTCCCTAAAAAAGCAGCCTGGGACATTATTTATCCGAAAGGCTCAAATCCTGCCCAGTGGATGAGGTTTCTGGAAGTTAAAGACTTTCCCAACCTGTCCTGCAGCCCACAAGCAGTTTCTCCAAAATGACAGGGATCCCACTGAAGCCTTGGGACCTTTCAAACAAGGGAAGGACCTGGAGTGCTTTATTGCCTAAGTGGCTGCGGCCGATGGCATTGCCAGCCTTCTGAGGTTCTACAAACAGGATTTCAGCCAGTGGCTGGAATAAATTATTTATTTATTTAAAATATTTACATGCCACCATTCTCCTAAAGCAGTGTTCCCCAACCTTGGGCCTCCAGATGTTCTTGGACTTCAACTCCCAGAAATCCTGGCCAGCAGAGGTGGTGGTGAAGTCTTCTGTGAGTTATAGTCCAAAAACATCTGTGGACACAAGGTTGGGGAACACTGTCCTAAAGGATCCAAGATGGCTAGGCACAAGGTTGGGGAACACTGTCCTAAAGGATCCAAGATGGCTTACAGTATGAAAAGAAATAAAGTTAAATGCCAAATAATAAACTATTGCAGTGTTTTAAAAGCATCAAAAAAGGATCGTATTAAAATACATTGAAATATGAAATCACACACTAGGTGTGCAGAATGACACCCATCAATCACAGTGACAGATCATCTCCCCCCTCATCACAACAAAACAGCCATTAAAAAAAACACACCCTGATCACAGGAATCACCCAGTGTCCTGAAAAGGACAAAAATCTGCTCCCACAGCTACAAATACTCAACAATCCCACACACTACACCAGAACACAGACAGAATTTTAGCTCCTGTTCTCTGAAGATGTCAGCCACAGAGACTGGCGAAATGTTACAAATAGAAACCTCCAGAACACAGCCAAACAGACGGAAAAACCCAGAACAACCAAATATAAAATCCATTAGAAAGTGCCGCTTCTGTTGTCCTAGATTTGTTCAGGACATTAATTTGTTCTGAAACTTTTTAAGGAGCTGTAGTGGCGCTGCGGGTTAAACCGCAGAAGCCTCTGTGCTGCAAGGTCGGAAGACCAGCAATCGTAAGATCGAATCCACGCAACGGAGTGAGCTCCCATCACTTGTCCCAGCTCCTGCCAACCTAGCAGTTTGAAAGCATGTAAATGCGAGTAGATAAATAGGTACCACCTTGGTGGGAAGGTAACGGCGTTCTGTGTGTAGTTGTGCTGGCCACGTGACCACGGAAACTGTCTTCGGACAAACGCTGGCTCTATGGCTTGGAAATAGGGTTGAGCACCGCGCCCTAGAGTTGGACATGACTGGACTAAATGTCCAGGGGAACCTTTACCTTTACTGGGCCAGTGGGTGAATGGTTTACAATGTTTCAGGGGACAGTGTTACAGAACACCTATCCTCCAGCTCTGTTTCTGTGTGAATTTTGCAAAAAATGACACAAGGTGGGTAAAATGTTGTCCTCTGAATCAGTTTTCTAACAACAGCAACAACAAGCTAAATCCATTGGTTAGGCCAGCGAGGGGAAACAAATCACAAAAAAACTGTGCACGTTTTTGAGCTATTCAAAACTCTTCACCAGATTGCATGGTAAATAAAATGGAGGGAGGGGGCAAAGCAAGGAAAACTGCTGATTTTCAAGCCATGGAGCCTGAATCAGGATAGAGAAAGGGAGCTCCAGAGGGAGCCTGCCAAGCAGAAAAACAAAAGAATTAAAATATCCCCTCCCCCCCACACGTTATCCTTGTGTTTTGTTTGCTTGGTGGATTTTTTTTTTTAAGAAAAGATGAAATCCAACCCTTTGCTCAGAATCACTGGTTCCTCAGACTCAAGAAAATCCAGACAGTGAGAGAAAACTGGGTAACTTCAGGTGGTGTATAATGCAATTTGTTAAGTATGGAAATATAAATGTGTGTGGTTTTTCACATACCAGTCCAGTCTCCGACGACCTTAACATGGACTCCGAAGGTTGCTTTGGTAGATGTTGGACACTGAAAAACGAAGCCAGTTAAGAGGAAATCGTTAATGGTTTCTTTAAAAGCACATGACATCAAAAGAGGATGGAATACTAGAAACACTACTCTTTTTTAAATTATGTTTTGGACAACAGTGCAAGAGGTGGGCAGAATACTAGAGGTGTGCACAACTGCCTGCTGAATTCTGGGAGTGGTAGTCCAGACTCACAAATCTACATACCTCTCTATCTACTACCTCCCAGGCAGCCATGCAAGCCGGATATTCCGGGAACCATCATCAAAAAGAGTACCTTTGCCAAGTTCTGCTCTAATCCCACAGTAATAATTCTTCTTTGACACGGTCAGTATTGAATAATGCAGTCACAGAAAAAGACTGATATTCTGGGAGCTCTGTGGCAATTTCCACACCTTTTTAAGGTATATCATTTATTCTACTCATTCTACATTTTAGTGGTTAGTGTTTTGGGAGAGATATTGAGGAGAGCCAGGTTCAAACTTGCCCTCAACCGTGAAATCCATGGAGTGATTTTTGGATGAATCATCGTCCCCCAGACAATATCTCCCTCACAGGACTGTTGTGATTGTACACGAGAGCTTCGTATTCGTCTCCCATGGGAGATGAATAGGAAACCTGCTGGCACCGGTGGCCAGTCTGATTGGACCCTCTCCAGCTCAACTGGGCATCCACTCACCACTTGTTGCGCAGCATGCATGGCCAGCATCATCAAAAGCATGCCGATCACAGCAGCAACCCGGCTGATACTGCCCCGCCTCCCTGGAGAGCTGGCCACTCAGCAGCTGAGCAGGGAGGCTCTTCATATTGCCTCCTCATTGGAGTGGTCAGCTGAGCAGGGAGGCAGGGAGCAGAAGCTGGGCTACTGTGATTGGTGCACTTATTTATTTATTTATTTATTGTATTTATAGCCTGCCTATCTAGTCATTTCGACCACTCTAGGCGGCTTACTAAGGGACGTTGTGGCGCTGTGGGCTAAACTGCAGAAGCCTGTGCTGCAGGGTCAGAAGGCCAAGCAGTCATAAGATCGAATCCACGCGATGGAGTGAGCTCCCGTCGCTTGCCCCAGCTCCCGCCAACCTAGCGGTTCGAAAGCATGCAAATGCAAGTAGATCAATAGGGACCACCTTGGTGGGAAGGTAACAGCGTTCCGTGTCTAAGTTGCACTGGCCATGTGACCACGGAAGATTGTCTTCGGACAAAAACGCTGGCTCTATGGCTTGGAAACGGGGATGAGCACCGCCCCCTAGAGTCGAACATGACTGGACAAAAATTGTCAAGGGGAACCTTTACCTTTACCTAGGTGGCTTACAACATAAAGTATAATAAGTTCAAGAAAAATTTATAACAAATTAATTAATCAAATGATTTTGCAAGATGGGAAAAATACAAAATAAATCAAATAAAGAAGAAGAAAAAAGGAAAGAGGACAGGAATTAACTGGAAGGGAAGGCCTGCCTATGCTTCCAATGATGCCGGCTGCATGTGGCAACCGACGAGTGGTAAGTGGACACCCAGTTGAGGGCGGAGGTCCAATTGGTCCAGCCACCTGTGCCAGCAAGTTTCGTATTCATCCCCCTCAGAAGATGAATATGAAACTCTCACGTCTCGTTGCGATGATAAAAATGAAGGAAGGAAAATGAATGTTTAGCCAGAAGGGTCAAGGGGTGGAAGAGAAAGAGATGTAACTTTGGCAGACATTTATGTTTGAACAATCGTACTTGCAAACAAAGACCTCCCCAATGACCAATCACAAAACAAAGCAAGGTAACTCACAAACTACAGGACACGTGAAAAGCTTCTGTTGTGACAACTGGTGGGGCAGTCCCACAAAAATCACAGTCCCTTTATTTATGTCATTTATAGTCTGCTATTTCTTTAAGGCTCTCCAGGTGCCATATACCAGTGGTTCCCAACCTTGGGTAACTCAGGTGTTCTTGGACTGCAACTCCCAGAAACCTTCACTACTATCTTTTACTGCCCGGGGTTTCTGGGAGTTTTAGTCTAAGAACACCTAGGATACCCAAGGTTGGGAACCACTGCCATGCACTATCTCTTCACAACAGTCTTGTGAGGTAATGTAACAGGGATGTTTGCCAATGGCACAAAGTGAACCAGGAAGCTTCATGGTTGGATTTTTTTTCCCAGTTTGGGCCTCAGGCTGACACTTTAAATACAATACTATGTTGGCTTCTTATTTCAGAAGCATTTTAGATATAAGGTAATATTTACAACAACCTTGTGAGGCAGTCTAGCAGAATACAGCTCCCGTACTGACAGCATGTCATAGGCAGTAGTGGGCAGGAGCTGAGGCTGAAAGAAATAGCGGCTTACCCAAATCTACCCAAAAACTAAAGTCTCTCTCCTCTTTCTTTCTAGAAAAAAACTCTATCACAACAGTCTGGCGCTGGGATCACAATCTCCAGAAGAAAGAAGATTTGTAAATCTTTCTCCCAACGCTTGGTTTGCTTCCAGTATTGTCTCCCGAACAGAGTTTTCACGAACTTCATGCTGCTTTCTTCTGAAGTCAATGAAGAATAAACAGCTTGGCAAGCCACCTTTGTCTGATGCCTGCAGATGCTCCAACAGCATTACTTTGATAAATGACTCATAAAAACGCTAGATTTATTTCTTTTCCTTCAGATTTTCAGAAGCATCTTTCAGTGCTATCTGTAGACCTTCAGGGCTCCTTTGAGGCTTCCTGCAAGCTTACACAGCCAAGTAAATCTTGTTTTAAAAAAGAAACAAACTCCATCATGTAGGAGAATGCTTTCCAACCTTAGGTCCCCAGATGTATATGGACTACAACTTCCAGAAATCTTGGCCAGCACAGCTAGTGACAAAGGATTCTGGGAGTTTTAGTCCAAGAACAGTTGGAGACACAAAGTTGGGAACCATTGCTCTACGTAGGAGGTGGATGGGGAAAGCATAGCTCTTTAGATAGTTAGACCACGATTCCCATCAGCTCTAGCCAGCACAACTAGTAGTGAAGAATGATGGAATTTTGTGTGTGTGTTCTGGACTACCAAGTTAGAACTGACTTGTAGCAACCCTAATGAGGCTTTCAAGGTAAGTGAGATATTTAAGGAATGGCTTTACCAGTTCCACTCCCTCCAGTGAGTTTCCATAGCTGAGCGGGGATTCGAACCCTGTTTTCCAGAACCCACGTCCATCACTGTATCCACCACACCACCCTGGGAACCCATGATGAGAACAGTAGTCCACCAATATCTGAAGTACTGTAGTCAAGATGAGGCCAAACAGATTGTCTATATATTTTAGTTAACATAGGATATTGTTGATTTATGTCAGTGCAAGTACAACTGCATAATTCACAACAGCCAATTGTTGCTAATTGAAAAGTTGCTGCTCTCACTCCTGGTCATATGCCAGTTGCATGACTTGTGTGTGTCCAGGAATGTGAGAAGCAACTCATAAATTAACTTGCCACTTTGGTTTAAGCAATTACACTTAGTTCAGTGTAAATCCCAAAGAGGATTCTGGCCACAGTACATTATAAACTTCTATGTTGTTTCAATGACTGGTGGGGGAGGAAAGGAAGCAAGAGTAGGAGCAGATATTGTCCCCAGAATCAGGTGCATAGGAAAATAATGGTGGAAAAAACCAACAAAATCAATAACTACAAAAACAAAGCAGCTAATCAAAAGGCAGCTCTTACGTGATTCACAAAAAGCACACTGGGACACCTAATTTTTACCTAATGCAAAACTTAAAATGTAGATGTCTGGAAATTGTTCCTTTCAGCGGCTTTTGGATCTGTTTTCTTTTTAATGTTTTAAATTTTGATTTCCTATAAAGAGGACTAATCAAGAAGATCATTCATGAAGTTTGTCTGTTGACTGGACTTATACGCTGCTTTTCTTCCAAAAGTTATTTTAATCCAAGGTGTGAAGGTCACTGGGCATATTAGAGGAAGTGGATTATAATCATAGAATAGTGAAGTTGGAAGGGGCCTATAAGGCCATCTAGTCCAACCCTCGGCTCAATGCAGGAATACAAATCAAAGGATACCTGCCAGGTCATTGTCTAATTTTTCTTAAATACCTCCAGTGTTGGAGCACTCACCAGCTCCCAAGGTAGCTGGTTCCACTGTCGTACTGCTCTAACAGTTAGGAAGTTTTTCCTGATATTCAACTGAAATATGGCTTCCTGTAATCTGAGTCCATTGTTGCATGCCCTGCACTCTGGGATGATCATCAAGAACAGATCCTGCCCCTCTTCTGTATAGCCTTTCAAGTATTTGAAAAGTGTTATCCTGTCACTCCTCCATCTTCTTCTTTTTTATAATCCACGAAACCTTCTGCAAAAATAAATTAGCTAGTCTTGAGGGCTCCATAGGACTTTGGTTTCTCTCTCTCTCTCTCTCTCTCTTTGGCAGTTGCCATTCCTTTGAAAGAGTGGGATGACTTCTAAGTTTGAGTCTGAATTGTTTCCCACACTACTTTAAGGGTTGGTTTACAAGGGACTTTGTGGACTAGCAAGCCGCATACATCACCAAAGAGGAGAGGAAAGAGCATACTGCATATGCTAATTCATAGGCACATATGCAAAATTAAGACCACCCTCTTTAAAAGATTCTTTGTAGCCACCCTACAAGTATTTAGCCTTGAGATGCACATTCTTAAAGGCACATTTCCAGATAATCCAGGAGAAATCAAAAATATTGGCTGTAAATATTGGCATGACCCTGGTTTATAGCAGCCTATTATAAGTCTCTGTTAAGAATCGTATTCTCCAACTACTCACGCACCAACCTATTTAGGTTTTGAAAGGTTTGGATCTGAGGCTCTCCTGAAACCAACCCACCCACCTCCTCTTTCAGAAGTCAGTAGATGATAACAGGAGGCAGCACTTTTTGTAGAGTTTGAAAATCTTAGGTTTTTTGGACAATAGTTCCCAGAATCCTTTAACCAGCATTGCCACACACTATAATCCTGTGGGTGGTCATTTTGGTGGCAACAGTCTATCTTTGTAATCATCT